CAGTTTTTAAATGAAAGTGATGTTTGCAATTCTTTCTTTTTCCAGTTAGAGAAAAAGGAGGGGACCAAGAAGGCGATCTTTCAGTTAAGGAACCAGGATAACACTCTTACTGAAAATCAAACTGAAATATGGAAAATCATACACACCTTTTACAATAACCTGTATACACCTGATAACATTGACATTGAAGCTCAAAATAGCCTCCTTGAAGGGCTACCGAAACTAAATGAAACAGATCGTGATGACCTTGACAAACCAATCACGTTTGCCACGGTCAAACTGCTTCCCCATGGGCGTAATCCCGGTATCGACGGAACACCAAACGAATTTTACCAAACGCTTTGGCATATCATTAGAGGTGATCTGTGCGATGTATTTACTGCTGCCACAAACGAAAATGTGCTCCCCCTATCCTGCACAAGGGCCGTGGTCACTCTTCTCTCTAAAAAAGGTGACGTTACCAACGTAAAACACTGGCTACCTGTGAGTCTCTTATGTAGCGATTACAAAATGTTCACTAAATCGCTTGCATTGCGTTTGCGCGGTGTTTTAGGCAGCATTATTCATCCAGACCAAACCTGCAGCATACCAAACAGGCATATTCATGTCACCGGCCTGCCTACGGGGTTCCAAGGTGTTTTTGTACTGATACGTGATCGTCTTTTATTTTATTTTACCCGTGAACCAAAAAGCATAATATATTATAATATAATATAATATGTCTGAGAATAACCATGGCCGTTCTATTTTATTGTGAGTCCAAGTAAATCAGTGATGTTTACATGGTTTGATAACGATAAATGCAAAACTATTCTAACCACGTTCTAATGATGTATGTACAATGCGTTATATGGGCTAATTTGAATTATTACTGAAGTTGTTACTATATTTGAGAACAATAGGGACGTATGTATTGTAAATAATCTAGGTATTAAAACAAGTAATTATTGACCCACCTGAAATGCAAAGTTTGTCATTGTCTGTACCCCAAACCGCGTTTTTCTCACAGACAACCTCATCTGTAGTTTGGGACACATATCCTTCATCACATGTAATAGCACACTTAGAACCCTGTGTATTACTACAAGGCTGCTTCACACTACCATGTGCAAATACGGTGGGACACGTACCGTCTGAAAAAATAAATGAAAGAGTCCCCACTAAATATATAGTGACGATCGAACAACTAGAATAGAATGGTGTATGAGAGTATACAAAAACATTAAATCTAATGTGGTTTTCGGCAATATTATATCGTATTATTATGCATATCAAACACGTGAAACACGTGTCAATCGTAGAATGCATTTAAGAAACCAAACACTGACCTCGATTACAAAGTGATTCGGTAGGTATATTCCATTCACCATTTTCTTGGCACATAACAGATTGTTTGGTTGTTGCAAAATAACCCGCGTCACAGCTGTATATGCAACTATTACCGTCTCTGTTGTCACATGCACCTAGTACACTACCACCATTAAACGTTAGGGGACACCTATAAACTGTAATAAAACGGACAATTTTACAATAATCATTCTAACATTGGTATCTGTATCATAGAATAGACGAATCAGCGTCACATTTGGGTGAAGGATTTTGCAAAATAGAGCAGTATTATCACATTGAATGACGTAATGATGTTAGTTATAGCCTCATACCTGTTAGACATTCAGGGATATCTTCGGAACATAGACATTCAGTACCATGAATTGTGTTTATACAAATACCTCCACATGTACCATACAAATCGCATGGCGCTGAAATAGAATACAATTTTACGCACATAAACATTACATGTAGTGGGAATTTGTGAACTTATACCCAAAAGTGGTTGGATAATGGAAATATAGTTATGTTGAATAAACTGCTATTTTAACTAAAAGAATACACGCGAATGACCTCATATGACATTGGGGCAACAACGTCGTTAAGCTTTAGAGCGGTGAACAATAATCCAGATACCTGGAAAGTAGATAGAACGGCCCTCTTCAATGTTATGATACAGTAATTACAGATATATACTACCACTGCAGGGACATATTGTTTATATGTGTATACTGGAAACATCACAGTTAAAACTCAATATTGTACAAGTAAATAACGTGTTCTTCTTTAATATTAAGCGATTGTGTGCGTGTACACTTCTTGTAGTATTCCTCGGTGTGCTGTCATGATTTATATTTCTGCTTGTTGGTAGTTGCCATGACATTCACTGATAACTGCTGGCTACTTAAGGCCAGATGGCAGGACTGGCTGAGATCTGTCGACACGTTCTCATGAGCTTGTTATTCTCAAGCTTATGCGGCATCTTGGAGGATATATGGTCAGAGTCCAGAAAGAATGATGTGTATATTAAATGTCAAATGTGGAATGTTATTGCAATATCGTTGGCGCCTATAAATATAAACTACGTTGACACTATGATAGTAGTTTTCCTAATGCAGTAACAATTAATCAATTGTGTTATGACGTGTAAAACTTTCGGGTGATTGGCTGTTTGATTGGAGGCAACGCCTTGCAGATTTGATACTTCCTTGTAATTGGCTAAGAAGTTGAGGAGTTAATAAAGTGATTTGAAGCTGTCTTGGCGAACGAGTACGAGGCAGTAGGAGAATCGGAGGTGACACGAATTGAGCTTCTGTGTTTTTTGTTAATCCAACGTGGAGAACATTCGAATCTCGGGTACCTAAGTGAAGGGTTTCAAGACATCAAATTTACCCATTACAGTGCACCTAAAACTATCAATTTTTAATTATTCGGAAACCGAAAAAAAAAACGCTTTATCAAAAGTGTGGAGGGACTATTTTACTGACAAAAAAAATACTCACCGTTGGACAAGGGTTGTATGCTTTTGTGAAAGAATGTAAGTGCTGTTATCTTCGATTCAACATAAATTGATCGGATGTGATCATGACTTCCAATTTCATATATGCTAATTTTCTTGGCGTCGTACCTCGCAACAAATAGGAAGTCCTAACAATGATAATGAAATTAGAAGACAAATCGTTAGGGTTATAACAAAAAACTCACAATTACGTACATTACTGGCGAAATGCTGTGATAATTAGTGAACTATAACCTGAAGAAAATATTACAGATTTTATAAATATGCTTTTATATCTAGTTTAGTTGACTTCACCATATTTTCTTATATTATCATTGTGCCGCAATCCAGACGATAATCACACAGCTCTTACCTGAAATATTGTCAGTCCTGAGAATTCTGTTTTATCCTCAGACGTATAAAAAATAAAATTTTCTCTATTATTTCCATCAAAGTCAACTGATATAATTTTCTTTTCTCCATCATCTGCCCAGTATATTCTACATTGAACAAATCATATATTATTTTCACAAGATCAATAACACGATTAACTCGGTTTATAAAGTACAGATGCAATAATCTATAACGATCTAATCCGTATATTATATGTTTAGCATGGATGCTCGTGTACAGCACCAAATCGTATATTTTACGTTACGACGCGTCTTCACCTCAGCAACGGCGCAATGTAAAAATGCAAGTAAATACAATCGCACAAATGGCGAGGGTAATACCTTGTCAAGTCAAAGTTAACATGTACAATCAATGCTCGAGTACGGCATCTAATCGCTAAGCTCTACGACGCGTATGCCCCTCAGTCACAGACGAGCATCTTCGCCAGCCATGGACCATTTATTTGGCCGAAACCTCAACATTAACCCTTGGCAGATTTCACCACGATTTACTGTATGTCGCACGCCCTCAAACGATTATAAGATTCACTTCGGCTAATTTGCATCACCCAATCAGAAACGACACATTACTTGGTAAAATTTAGGTAAAATTAGAATTATGGAATATAGAAATGAATGTCAAAAAACGCTTAGTGCTTATTCTGAGGGAAACAATTCCTCTAAGTACAGTGTTGCAACAAAGACCGAATCGGGCAAGTCGAAATGTTAGCAGTTTGCACAAATATTTAGATATTCCACCGTCTTCATTCACTTGCCCATAAACAATTTTCAACGATGGAATAAGAAATTTCGGAAACGTGTCAACGAATATAGACCTTCTGCTTTTTCCTCAGTGTGAATCAGCGCAAAGCCCGGCGCAAAGCCTACACGTCGCCATTGTTTTTATATGTGCTGATTGGTGGCACCAACTCCTTGGCTCACCCAATCAAATGACTCGATTTAACTGCAGTGAAATACAGCTTTTCCTAACATGAAATGACTGGCTTTAGCGAAACCGTGCGATTCGGACGATGTCGGGTGAGCGAGCATCGGTTCAACTCACACATGTTTACTTTGTTTTGACATAGCATTTAACATGCCATACATTCGGTGTCAGTCACTTACTTTCCTTTCTATTTAAACAGCGACTATGAGTTTACAATTACTTTCTGAGCCCCAAAAAGGGATGCTTAAACCTCAAACAACTATTTATTGGTTGTCTGAGCTTAAACCTGCTTATTACGTGCAGCGATCGTGAACCCGTCCACGCCGTGGACATTTAGCTAGCCGATTCGGTGCCGTGCGTGAGCGTTGGTTTGCGTCACGCAAAGGTACGTGTTTACTTTGATTCAATTTACCTTGCGTGTTTTCGATTTTATTTAAATGGCACCTAGTACTTTAAAGTTACGTACATGTGAAGGTAATACGGAATAAGTTTAATAGATTGTCGACTGAATACCAAACAAATAACAGAAATGATCTTCATAGAGCCTACATATTATCCCAGACAACCAATATTATATATTCAACTACGAAATGTTTCTGAGGATTGTGCTATGTCATTTGAAAATAAATACTTTGACTGTCTAACTTTATAGAGACACGCTTTTAAAACGATACTATGGCATACAACGAACAAATTATTTTTACCTGTCCTTGTTAAAGTCAATAGCAAGCTGTGTTGGATTAACTATCCCCTCAGAAGCGATCACTATTCGATGCCTTCCGTGTAGATCGGATCGCTCAATCAGGGGATATTCACCGCTGTTACTCCAAAATAGATACCTGTGAAGTGAACAGATTATTACCTAGACATCACTCGGCAAAACCATCCTGCGCTATATGTCGTCACCATCAAAATCCTCATGAACATTCAGAGCCAATGTTTAGGTTTCATTGTTGCATAGTTATGGCCGGAAATGTGTTTGGTGATCCTGTGACATTGTCATATGACTCAAAGAGATGGTCAGGTCGTGCGAATCAAATCGCATGTAGAATTTAGAAATATAGATTATAAAGGCGATACACATTTATCATTTGGAGATATATTATGAACATATATTGTTATTGTGGATGGGTCTTGCGGGTACATACGTTGAAAGTTTAAATGTACTAATAGTTATTTGCTCTTTGAATGTATATTGCAATTAAAAACATACACAAACATATACTGTGACAATAACCTTTGATCACACCTTAAAATGTGGCTAAGTATTGAAGTGAAATGAGAAATACGTGTGCCTAGATTATAGAGACTGATTAACTGGCAAAAATGCATAGTACACATTGCGACCTTTGCTCTAAACATATAACCAGGTTTTGTGAAGGCCCAAACTATTCCATATGTAGGAATGGGCATGGAGGTGAAAAAAAACCTCCATGAGCTGAGCAAACATAAAAAAAAATGCACTAGGATCTTGAACTTTGACCTATTGTCCCAGCTCCCGTGAGTAGCATGGGGAACTTATATACGAATTTTAAAGGCCTGGCTGTTTTTTTCTATTGTAGATATATACTAAACATAAACAAAATGTTGGATCCAAAATACAGTCACGTCTGTGGTGTATTTAACCTCTGTTTCACTTTCAATCAACAATTTTATCAAATCATTGTGAAACATCTACGGGTAGAGAGCGGAAGGTGGACATCGGGTGACAGGATGTACCAGACAAATTATGTCTACTTAATTTGCGGGTGTTTCTGTTATACAAACCAGTTAGTTTTGAGGTTTGGTGCCAAAGAGAAATAAAACTGTTTTGAGATGCTGTTAATTCAAATATTGTAGTTAATGTATATCGACAGTGGACGGCTGCAATGCATATAAAGTAGAAATTCCTGAAAACTGAGAAACTGGTTTTCTTGACTGCATTCAGGAATGCATTTTGGATTTTACGAGTATCTAAAACTTTTAATAAGTTTTCTGAGTGCTATCTACGAAAAGGTCATCGAGTCAGGAGTCTTGACAAATTGAATTTACATTTGAAAAGAAAATTTTACATTCCATAGATTAAAAACTGTGTGTGAAGAAATTCTACCATTCTATCTTTTGGAATTATTTTGATCCGGAAAGTTATCGTAGTGTAAAAACTAGAATTTTGGAACCCTATCATCGCTTTCAGTCCAGAAAAACAAAATCATATAAGATTGGTATTGGCAATATGAGATCGTCAGCAAAAACACCCCGCACTCCTGCGCCACATTGCTTCGATCGAATCAATAACAATTCATTTCACATGAATTTAAAAAGTGGCAAACTATCTGAAGCAAGCACAGCATCACAGTTCAGCGCTCAATTCATAAACCACTGCATATAAAATACTTACATTTTTGTTGCATGGACTGCTATTGCCTTTGCCTCTGGTGTATCTTGTGACACCAAGGTAGCCACGTGGTCTCCAAGCAGTGTGGCTACGTTAATAGAAGATTGTGTGTCGGTGATCAACGTCCAGTATAAATTTGATCCAATCCAGTCAACTGATAGATCTGTTATTTTAAAAGAAAATATTGTTATTACCGATATTTATAACAAACATTTGATTATGCTAGGGATACCTGGGTAAGCTTAAGGTAGCAACAGGGGAATTCTGGTCAAATGTTCATGTTTTTTTTTAATAATTGGTATATCACTTTCTTTTAGTGTATTCTTTCAGTACAACTAATAAAAAAAGTATTTTAACCCATGAGTGAAAGAAACGGATCCGATTGAGTGGGTACAGCCGAAAATTAAATCCTGTTTCAGATGATTTAGAAGAAGCAACTTTTGTACGGAGAAGATTGATTTGTATAGTGACAGCGACACTGTCATTTTCATTGACGAAGAAGCACGCTAATTTAATTGTCTTAAATATATCTGCTTCCTGGGATTTCTCTTATAACTGACGTCCGTCTATTTGTGTCATTTACGAATTGACTGTTCAGTCATTTTTGTGGCTTGGCCAATTACTTTCAAACTTGACACGCTAGTCAGGCCTGTACTCTAATTAAATAGAAGAAAACTGAAAAAATATTGATCCCTGGCCACAGCCGAAAACTTCTTTTCTACCTTCGCGAGGAATTCATCTCCTCCAATAAATCTATAAAAAAATCTCGAAAATGTCTCATTCTACTCTGCTTAAATATGTGGCCAAACTTACTTTTCTGGTAACTATTTGTTGTTGACAAGCAAGAATTCGAGGTAACATTTTCGTCAGAATTGGAATCAGGATAAACAAATTATTATCCCGGTGGATAGCTCACGGGCATGTATATGTAATGTGTAATATTGAGAAAAAAATTAGAGCGCCATCAAACAGTGGTTTGTAGTTTCGTCATAAATGGTACCCTAAAATGAATTATTGACGTAAAACACGTTCAAGACACATATGAGTCTAAACAGCAGACATCATACTCTATAACATTAAAATAAACATTCAAACATGAAGACACGCTCTGTTTCTTCTATTCGCACGGGCGAGAAGTGTATCTTCATCTTCGCCAGCCAAGGAACATTTATTCGGCCGAAGCCTCAACATTAATCATTGGCAGATTTCACCACGATTTACTGTATGTCGCACGCCCTCAAACGATTATAAGATTTACTTCGGCTCATTTGCATCACCCAATCAGAACTCGCGACAGAAATTATACATTGCTCGGTAAAATTACAATGGCGGAATCAAATAAACGTGTTGCTGGCTTTCTCTCTGAACGAGCTTACTGATCATCAAAAGAAAGTGCTTAGTGCTGTATCTGAGAAAAATTACGCGTTTGTTGCAAACACAGTTTCTCGACTGTGTTGCAATGAAGACCTAATCGGGCAAGCCGATATGTTATCAGTTTCGACAGTTTTGCTAGTTTACTAAAACATAGTTAGCACAAATATTTAGACATTCCATCTTCCTCATTCATTTGCCCACAATTTTCAAAGTTGGGATAAGAAATTTTGGAAACACGACAACGAATATAGACCTTTTGTTCTTGACTCCCAGGGAAACAGTGCCTACACGTCGCCATTGTTTTTTAATCTGTGACGAGCTCCCCGATCTTCACATTTATGATACACATTTCTAAAATGAAATTATTAAACATCAATGAAATAATGCATTAAGTACAATTGTGCTTTCAACATATTATATCAGAAAATTTGGATCAATGTGTAACTTTTGAATATTATTCTACAAAAAGGGTTGTGCAGTAAGCGTCTTCCAGTACACTTAAAACTAATATCAATAGCGTGATGAATCAATATTAGAATACAAATCAACAAAGTTTCTTCGATAACTTCAATATTTACATAATCTATTCCACTTTTTATCTTTTTGTTTCGTTTTGTTTTTTGTAATTTGTCAAAATATTATTAGTAGCTCAATCTAATTTACGTACGGTCGAAAATCTGGGGTCGCTATCGAGTATCAACACAGAAGATAAGTATGTGACTTGTGAGTATAATGTGTACTTTATAATGCGGTTAGATCACGAACTTATGACACTACATACCGGATACCTGTCCTCCCAGTATGATATCCTGCCAGTGATTATTATCATATCTCAGCCGCGCTCGTTGAATACCTCCATGCTCTTCCGAATGTACAAATATATATTCTGCATACACGTCGAAGTCCAAGGTGTTCACAGTGAAGTCGGTAAAACATGATACCGTGAATGTCTCTGGTAAGTGTTCATGCCCTATATTGGCGGGGATCTGGCACAAGTAACCGCCCTCTGCGGAGAACACCAGCTCATGGTCGAGTATAATAGACTCATCTGTGCAGAGAAAGTTATTTTGTGTGGAAGTGGCGCATAGATAATGATAATCCAGGAAAGATGACGATGACGATAAAATAATCATGACATATTCACCAGGACAACAATATATACGAAAGTGAATATCCGACATGTCAAAGTGAACATGATATGAACACGTGTATTATAGAGTTGTGATAATCTATGTGATTTGATATAGAGATAATAAAACATACCTTCCTCGCACCTACGTCTGTCACTTTTCAACTTGTAACCATGGTTACACAGACATTTGTATCCATTTGGATCACCAACACATATATGGGAGCAAGGGGAACTGCTACACGCAACTATTACAAGAACAAAAACAACTAAAATTACTGCCGGTAAAACAGTGATTGAAAAAAAAACATACGTCGAATAAGACAATAGTATTAAATAACATTTGTAGTTAAACTTGATAAGTAAATCCAAATACAAGCTGCCGTAAAATTACATGTTGTAGCGCTCGCCTGGATTGTATGCTATCACATAGATTCGGGTCAAATTGAAAAACTGCTAGATAACATGTCAAATTAATATATTTTCATTTATGTAGTTATATAATTGCAATAAATACAATAAGGTAACAGTTCTCATTATATTTAACGGGATAATCGTATTATCATGTGCTCAGTGACATGCTCCATGAAAGCGTCATTTGGCCCTCCTAGACTCCTAGACTCTAATTACATAACTGAAATAAATCAGCGAATAAAATGCAATATGTTTGACAAATTGTCTACATGAAGTCGATCAAGTATATCACGGGTGGGATCTCACGTGATCTGACACTACAGGACGAAAAACACGATATGAATTTTCTTGGTACATCTTGATATTGTTTTCTACCAGTATTTTATCTGCATTTTAATGTGTAAAACACACAATGATAACATGGCCATGAATGTGTGTTTTTGCCGATGATGGCGCGATCACAATGGGTTTCGTTTTCTTTATGAGACGGCGGTCGACGTGCCATACATGTGCGACATTATTCTTGAAAAAAACTGGCGCCTCTACTACGCTTGCGCCGCGCCGCTGATGGTGGTTACGGGACAAAGGTAGCGGATCGAAATTTACCTACGTGAATTTTGGTCACTGCGAAACAGTCAAAGTTATTTCCGCACATTCCACATGTAAAGCATGCATGGCGCGACGTCCACCTCAAGTTCCACATCATGATTTTAGTTCAGGATCAGAGTTGGCTCTACAAATACGTCAAATCGTCAAATAACTGAAACTTTTCTATAAATGGTATTTGTTACCGTGAAGTAATAACCGAGATTGTTTCAACATGAAAGGGACAATAGCTTTCTCAATTCTACTGGTTTATTATATATTTCATGATTTGATTTTCTTTTTCTAATCCCCTGACAACTTGCTGGATATTCAGTGATGAGCACTGTGTGACCGCTTTCTCGTTGAACGGCGTTTTTTTTAAATGTCATTGCTATTTTGCGCATGATATGTTTGACGGGTTTCAATCACTGTGAAAAAATAATGACTTACAGTCTTCTATTGGTTGCCTCGCCTCATCAAAGTAAACAAGTCCATTGGGGTCGTAGCTGGTACTGACTTGAAGGACATCCTTACTCGTATCGAATGGCACTAGGTGGACCAAGTCGTGTTCTCGGTCACTTGCAAAAAAACCGAAATTCTAGAGAAAAGGTACAATTATTTTTTTATGCGAATCATGGCATGTTGCGGGCGTTGTCGGGGGACATATATCGCAACAAGTAAATGCATAATTTGAAAGTCATGCCTTTCTTGTTTGGGATGTCAACAGAACTGATTGTCATCTACTGCATATTAAACCATGGATACAGACATACATTACTTACATAGTCGATATCCAGGCTAAATATCTGGCCAAAAGTATCTGGCTCGTTAACAACCACCTGTGGAGTCAACGTGCCCGCGTTCAGTGTGAGTCGCATGATTTTCTTGTTCTTCTCGTCCGACCAATACAACCTGCGTAAAATAATATCATCCATTGAGTCTGCAACTAGCTGTATAGTAACATACATACTACGATAACATGGGAGTGTGTCGGTAGATCAATACTTCATAAAAGTTCACCTCGCCAAGGATGTGTTTAAACGGTAGTCAGTGTATTTTGTTATAGCGCTATAGCCGAGATGCATTAAATCATAATATTCTTTAAATCGTTTCAATGTTTAATCGCAGTGGACTAGATACGAACGTATTCGTCCTTTTCGAATTACTTACACATTGCTACGCATATCGAGTGTCAATCCGACCGGAGTTCCCAACATGTCACTTCCGACGTCCGCCTCTGCGACCAATACGATTCTACCTTCCCCAGATAACGTGGATTGCTCAATTTTGTTGTCATCGCCCCAGTCGCACCAGTAAAGATACCTACAAATAAATAGAGGAATTAGACATGGATTAATATAATGAAATATATTCCTGCTGATAGACTGAAGAAGATATGTTATTCTCTGTACGTTTTTTTAATTATTATTATTTATTCAAAATGCCGAGAAGCAGCCATGATGAAGGAGGCGACCGGCAATTGCACTAACAAACAACATATTTTAGACTTCCGGACGAAGAGGGCGCTCATCGTTTTCACTGTCAAACATCGTTAGTAGATCTGTTAGTATGCAGCGTTGCTTGAACTCATTTCAAATTGAGCAGTTCCTGATCTATAAATAGATTCGTGTGTGCACTGCGTATAATAAGTGTCTGGACACGCGTTTTTAAGGTGTAGTACTCCCATTGTTGAGTCCTTTGTTTATACCTTAGGCGGTCATTCGATTCAACGGGTAAAACCGACGAGGAAAACAATGCTTGCACTGTCACATGAGAACAGACCCTGCTGCGGGAGCAACGTATGTCGTATTTCACAAGAGACTGTCAGACTGTGTAGGAGCACGTCAACTCATGTGAATGTTTTCGTTACAGTGAGAGTTTCGACTGTAGCCGTGTAATTGTTTAGTCGAGTGTATTGAACAAACATTAACGTTCACGTTGTTTGAATATAACCAGTATATAGACTGTGTTTGAACATTGTAAAATACCCCGATAAAGAATACTTCCATTAAATGTATGTTATTCCACTGATACTTAGTTTACAATATCGCAAACTCTCTAACACGCGTCAAAATGCTGTTGACGTGTTTTTGGCCCTGGAACTAGCATTTTATAGATTTGGATACGCTGAGTCATAGTGTAAATACCCTGATCACGCATAGTCGTAGACAAAGCTGTTCTCAGCAACAGTTTCGACACTACCAGAATGGTGCCTTGGGGTGGGTGTGGCTATTAGAAACTAGGAGAAGTTAAAACAGTTTCTATTGTGCAAATAGTTTGTTTTTCCATGCCTAGTTTTGAACTACAGTTTAGTTTAGGGTGATGTAACAGAACTGTAAATTTAGTATGTGTGAATTTGTTTTATAAATATATATATATTTTCTTTAACTTCCCATATAGATTTGTTTTTCTTCATGAAAAAACGACACGTGTTTGTACATGACCCTGCCAGGCATGGTGATCCGTTGTGATCTTGGTTAACTTTCGCGATAGTTGCATGGACGTGAATATAAAAAGAGAACGTACGGACCCCAATAATTACTTGAACGTTTCCTGCTCAGTTAAAAACGTGGGCGTTACTTTATTTTTTCAGTATTTTTTCCCAGAACTTTGTAGAAAATGATAAAAACGCATTTTTTCAAAAAAAATCGAAACTTAAATTACACACAAATTTTATGAGAATGAATGAACATTTAAAACAAACCGCCGCACATAGAACTATACGCTGGCAATCCTGGCATATGAAGATTTTTTTCAATTCATTCAAAAGTTTATGTTATATAGCAGGTGACGTAAAGGGGCCATAGTTCACGACGATGCAAATATTAGTTGAAAGAGCTATAACATCCGTAAAACTTCGCCATCGCGATATGGTATACAACCACAGTCCCTCAGAGGGACTGTGATACAACCCATTCCGAGGTATTGCGTGATTTGCATACAGATATCTGCGGAATATTCTCTCAAACATTCGATATCACATAACCGCCGCTAATAATGCATTTCTTTCATGTCGACAACATTAACAAAATATTAAAAAAATACTAGTATCTATTCATTATGTGTTATATGGCACGATATATCGTATAGTTACCCTTTGATGGGATCACAAACAATACCAGCTGGTTGATCCAGACCAGTAGTGATAATAGTTCGATGATTTGTTCCGTCATAGTTGGCTATTTTGATCCAGTTATATTGAGCGTCTGTCCAGTAGATATGTTTAGTCAACCAATCTACTGTTATACCTTCCACGGTGGATGACGTGCCGGTGTAGACGAGTGATCGTTCGTCGTCTTTCAATTGCGCCTTGTAGATAACCTTATGTCCCGGATCACTCCAGAACAAAATAGACTCTTGATAGTCAAAGCTCAGCACCATCTTCTCGGATTCGTACAGAACTTCCCGATGAAGTGTTGCATATGGTACATCAGGACCGTTGCTCCGTGCATGATCATAGAGAGCTTGCCCGGAATAATTATAATATATCACCCGTGAGTCGGCATCGGTTAGTCTGGGCATGTCAGTGGTGAGATGATCTGCTACAAGTAACACGGGGCCGACAGGTATATCATTGCCATTAGTACCTGTAAATTGTGGAAAACATTGGTCAATAGTAGTTTATAATTATTTATTACAACTTTACATACTCTTGTGTGGGATTGTGACAAATAGTATTCAGGCATAGATATAGAAAAACAACCAGGTCATATGACAGCTACGGGTATTATATATCATAATCTGTGTACAAACATTCAAGGTCGAGCTTTGAAATTTAAATTACCGTTCTGACAACTCAAATAGCTACGGGGAACTACGAGCAGTGTAGCGTTTTTACGTCAGACAGGGCACAAGGGCACCTACTGTTGCACTGATTTAAGTTGACGGTATTCAGTCATAGGTTCAGTCGCTGTACGAGAACGGACGATAAATGTAGATGAGTCCCAGTGTTTGTGGGCTTACGCCAAGTACAATGCTATCACGGGGCGAACAATAACAACTTGCAAGATATGCAAAATGGCTAACGTATTGACCGATTCCACTAACGGTCAACAATCCCTAGACAAACGTCAACCATTCTAATTGTACACATTTCGATTATGATGTTGATTTATGTCAGTTACTTTTACCCCTTTTTTTAAATACTAGAATCGTTGTTGTTTTTCATATTATATCGCCCACACAGATCGATCTCCGTGTGGGGAGCGGCGAAATTGAAGTGTTTGCAGAACAACTTACCAGACAACAGAAAACAAGCACAGCGGCCAACAACATTATGTCGATATTAGTAGATTTTGCCACAATGCACTCACTGTGTTGCTACTCTATGATTTAAACAACTGTTCAGACATGGTACCACAGCGTACCTCGCCATTTTCCCGCAAAGCACAATACGTTCATGAATATCGTGACGGTAATGTATTCAAATCACCACACAAAAAAAAAACGATTCGCTTTTTTTGTTAAGGAATTGAATACAGCACTACGACTGGGGTCATTGACCGACTATGGAAACAGTTCTACCCGGTACCACCTTTTTACGCTGAGCAACTGACTTGCACAAGTAAATCCCCAGTTGAATGAAACGCATAGAAGTATTGCCATTCCCCATAGCTAGGTTTATTTCTATAGTTTGTGGTGTTCTCTGAACAAACCAAACTGACCTGGTATATATTAATCGACTAAACGGTTGTTTTTGGGGGACATAAATGGCCACCAGTTGGTCAGAGGTCAACTAAACGAAAAACAAATTGACATGCAAATGTATCCTATTATAAATTGTTTTTTTACCAAATTTGAACAAAATCAGTCTATACATGTCCGAGAAATGACAATGAACGCACGGACCCAAATATATGCTTGCGTTTCGGAATTCGCTCAACTGGAACAACAATTATCACGGAGCAGGCAGGTACAAGTAATTACACGGCGGAGGGCAAGTACACCATTGCCGGTACGTGTAGTACCTTGAAGTTGTAGAAAGTGTTCGTCATTCAGAAGATATCACATCTCTTAAAAGAAGGGTTTATTAGGAATTTTCAAGTTCATTGTCTTGAAAAAAGATAATGCCAAATATTTCTATGCCAGTGAATACTCACTTGAAACGCAAATGTTATCATTATCACCGTCCCATACCCCACTTTCTTGACACGTGATTGCACTTGTAGTTGCGGGCAGGAAGCCATCTTCACATGTGTACATACAGGTGTTGTATATCATATTGTTACAAGATTCGGTCACACTGCCATGCGCAAAGTCACGCGGACATTTGCCATCTGAAAACAATACGAAATATATGCCGTAATATATGCCGTAACAGTCTAGTGGAACATTACTTACACGTTTGTGACAAAGTTCATCATATATGCTATATCAGAGGTACATTACTTGGGGTTTGTAACTACGGTGACATTGATACCAAGATCCCGTCACAATCTCGCTCTCGCATAAGCGTTCCAACTCAGAAAAAATGCGAATGCGCATGCCCGAGGTAACTAGGATACTGGGATGTCCAGGTGAATCAAAATAGCTGCCCACGATATAACGGATTACGAGAATTATATTTTCTGTACATTTTTGATGTAATACATTTTTCACTATGATAGTGACAAGAAAAGTTTTATTTTTTCATTTACACACCTTGCAACATTGATATGTGTCATGTCAGAAGGTCGTAGCCTCAGTCTCGCTATCTACGAGAAGAGACTGAATGGGATCTTGACATGATGTCTCCATACAGTACTATGCGAATTGCAAACCTCAAGTAATGTACCTCTGGCTATATATATATATATATATATATATATATATATATATATATATATATATATATATATATATATATATATATATATATATATATATATATATATGGGGAATATTTTTTCTATCCCGTGTTCATGATAAATCTCGAACTAAATGGTCGATGATCAAATTGTCAGTGTGTTGTCACGTGTAAAGGAAATACTCAAGATGAGCAACTTCCGACTGAAAGGAACACCATGAATTCAAGAAAACGTTTCAGTTCTGGCTTCAAAGCTTGGGTCCGATAATTGAAATCTCTTACGACAATTTTAAAGGATTTACGAACAGCAAAATCACAGTTTAGAATAGCAACCAGCCATGTTTTGATCACAAACTTTGACTAACAAACGCATTATCCTTTAACAAAATCTACCAATCAAAGTTTCGGGATATTTTGATAAACGAAAAATAAATAGACGCTAGGCGACGAAGCTAAAAATAAAATTGATAATATCGACACTAATTATTTGTTTTTCTGCACTTGGATGTTTATGTTAATGCTGTTTTGATATAGTACATGCTTTTAAAGCATGGCTACCAAATGCACTGACCTGGAGTACAAAGTGAACTGGCTGGTATTTCCCATTCTCCATTTTCTTGGCACACGATCGGTTGGTTGGTTGTTGGAAAATAACCCTTTTCGCAACTATACTGGCAACTATTACCGTCCCTGTTGTCACATCCATCTGTGACGCTACCATTCGCAAACGTTAGAGGGCACCTATATACTACAGTAAAAATAAAATATTTGTAATAACAGAGCTAGTATTCGTAACCCATCGTTTCTATATGTCGCATTCTTTTTAAAGGAAATGTTTCTGTAACGCTGGGAGATGGAAGAGGCGCAGTTCAACGTGTCGATGTTGCTTTGGTATGTGATTGTCCTTCAATAAAAACACTGCTTTTGAAACATTTGATATAAAAATGACGAATAACTGCTCAACCCATCTTAAACCCATCCACGTAATTTTGGGTCACTGATGAAACGCGTCGCCGTCAAATGTTTATTTGTTTATTTCTTGTAACTTTCATTGCTTTCTTTCATTGCTTTATTTCAGTTAGAATATCTCCCGCCTTGCGCCGTCCGAGTAGTGTTGTGATCCATATTTGAATGACCGATTGGTGTCGTATATTGATTACCTGTTTGACATCCACGGCTATCTTCCGAGCACAGACACTCAGCACCGTACCTTGTGTTGACGCAGATCTCATCACAAAAAATATATGTATCACACGGTCCTGAAATTAGGAATTACGATGTGAATCAATTTCACTATGTGTTAACCAACAAGTCGAAACCATAAGAAAAAATAGTTTACACTCACCAATATCCAGAGGTTGTAAGCTCGAGTGGAAGAATTTGAGTGTTGTCGGTTTCGTTGGTGGTAGTATTACTCTAACACGTTGTCTACTTTCAATCTCATAGATAGTAATGCTTACTTCCGAATACCTTGCGACAAACATAAAATCCTAGCAACGAGATAGTAATTAGAAAAAAATATGCCAAGTTTAAGTCCGAGTTTGAAGTGTGGAAGAATTGACAATTATCACTTAAACAACAACTGGACTGGAGCTACAATCAATGACGTCACGTGAAGCGCGTAGTTGAGTCGTACCGCACGATTGGTAAATGCAACACCCATAAGATAAGAATTAAATCAACGCCTCTATGTCACTTATTTTTTTTAACCTGATTTTAACCTGAGCTGATTACAGAGATCACACACATTTCACACTGCGCATAAAATAGGGGCGGGTAATAATTGACTAATGGTCAGTTATGTGGGATTCTTCATGCCAATCAATTTTGAAAAAATGTAAATATAAAATTATGACAATAAATTGAACGAAAGATTTTAATATATATGAATATATTAAATATTGGTACATGTAAAAAAAGACTTCAAAATGAACACAAAGAGATTAGATAAGATCAGATATTCGGTTTCCTATCGTCCGTGACAGTAAATCGCAAATATACCCATCAATGCAACACAATTACAATATTCCTACACGTTTCGAATAATTAAATGTACAGCTACATTATCATAAATTTGATAGATCATAAATTTGGAAGGGATTACCAGTACTATTTTACTCAATCGTATCTCTATTACAGTTGCACTGTATCACATATAACGTACCTGAAATATGGTCAGTCCAGTAAAGCGTACGTCGCTGTCGTGTACAAACATTCGAAACAATGTTCTGTCGTAGCCATCAAAATCAACTGAAACGATTTGCTTGGTTCCATCATCCCCCCAATAAAGTCTATTTGAAAACAAAAATACTTCTATAGTAACACAGTTAACACGAGATTTGACTAACTGTATACATAATAACATTGAAGAAGTATGGTGCTCAAAATGCAGTGAATTCATACTAAGATTACGATACAGTTACAGGACGCATCTGGAAATCATTCACAGTGTGTCACAATGTGTGTATCATAAACAGTATTCCACCGTCGAAACATGCGCAAATTATACTAGCTAAACGAAAATTATTTAATAATATCCAAACCTGTCTCTGTTAAAATCAATCGCAAACTGTACTGGATCTTCTATATTTTCAGTTACGAGTACTTTGCGATATCTTCCGCGAAGGTCTGATCGCTCTATGCGGGGACTGTCTCCTTTGTCACTCCAGAATAAATACCTACATTGATAAAGACAAAGAGTAGAATACAAGGTTTATGGTATAATCTATTCAGCCACAGCTTTCATTTATGCCTATATATAGACGTAAATTTCTATAATTGTGTTGTGAACTTATCCGCAATACCAACACCAATACTCCACCAGTTGCACTGGCTTCCAGTCACTTACATAATCCAATTCAAAATACTCCTCATTACTTACAAAGCACTACATCAGTTGACTCCACCATACATTTCGGATCTCATACAACAACGTAATCCTGGTAGAACTCTTGGCTCCAGAAACAAGCAATTACTCAAAGTACCAAAAACCAGACATAAATCATATGGTGACCGATCATTCTCTCATTTATCTCCTTCACTATGAAATCATCTACCAAATGACATTCGTACAGCACCAAATGTTAGCATATTCAAATCCAGATTGAAAACTCATCTGTTTTGTCAAGCATTCCTGTGAACTATGGCCGTCATTGGGCATCATTTGATCCGCAGTAGCCATATATTATCTACACTCAACGTATATAACACTCCAAATTCATGGAAACACTTACATTGAAGTTGCATGGACGGCAATCGCCTTTGGTTCGCGTATATCTTGTGAAATCAATGTAGTCACGTGCTCTCCTTCCAGTGTTGACACTTTAATAGATGCAGTTTCATCTTTCCCGGATGTCCAGTATAAATTGGACCCAATCCAATCAACCGATATGCCTGTGAATAACAATACATATAATAGTCGGCAAATAAAAGCGTATTCCTTAATTTGACACATAATTACAAAAAAGTAACATTTTAATCTTTGCACACAGGATTGCAAATACCAAACATATCATTTAAGTTATGTCATAACGTTAATTTAATGCATGTATTCTACAGTTTCTGACTGCCGAAATTTAGTGAATCAATTTTCCTACAATTTGTAATTTGAGCTTTAAACCTTTAGGTCATGTACTTATTATCTCCGCCAAATGTTTTTATTTTGTCGACGTCGGTGTGTGTGTTTGTATGCATGTGCGTCTGTCTGCCCGTGAAAGAAGGCACAATTGTTTACGTTTTTAGAGAGATCAGAATGTAGTTGCCAGGGAGATGGCAATTTTCGACACTGTTTCCAGGTAATGTCCAGAAGCGGCTCTCGTTGAGACAATAGAAAAAGCGCAGATTGTTGGGATAGATCTGCCATGTTACCATGGACACAGGGCAAAGCACAATTTTCAAGAGTGGTTGCCCTAGCGACAAGAAACCATCTATTGGATTATGGGAGAGATTTTGACTCGATTGTCATGTAAATAAGAAACATTTTAATTATTCATTGCAAGATAAAAAGTCACCAACGAGTGATATTTAGATGGGTTGTCAAATCTTAATATAGGATCAATGCCTGATTCGTTGTGTTAATATAGTATTCAACACTCAATTTTGACTTTCTTTCCACAAACAATGTGCTTATATGTAAATAGAATACATACTATTACATTATGATAGAAGTCTTAGTAAGGATACTTAGTAAGGATAAGTACTTTGCAGTTGTGGCGGAGTGTCTTCTTTTGCATGTAATGTATGTACTTGATTCGCGTGGGTAGTATACATTACTAACTTATTCAATTTACACTAAACTAGGTATACTAATACTATCATATATTCTCGGACTTGATAAAATAGTAAAGGTATACTGAAAATGTCGTTTCTTTCACAGATTAAGTTGTTTAATATGTAATACTATATAGTCAATTCTTAGTGCGTGCACTCATAAGTGCACTGACTTACATATCGTGGCAGTTCAGCCTAAACGAAATTCCTTGTATGGTAAAAAAAATATTAACTTACACGACGGGTCACCCTCCAAAGTAACATGCTCCCACTCGTTATCGTCTTCGTATCTAAGTCGAGAGCGCTGAATACCTGGATATTGCTTCGAATGCACAAATATGTATTCACCATACACGTCGAAATCAATGGTGTTCACAGTGAAGTCAGAAAAGCACGATACCGTGAAGGTCTCTGGTAAGTGTTCATGCCCTATATTGGCGGGCACCTGGCACAAGTAACCGCCCTCTACGGAGAAAACCAGCTCATGGTCGAGTATAATAGACTCATCTGTAAAGATAAATGCGTTTAAGGAGGTTAGTATGAGCGAAAGAGTTGTTGTTGTGACATAATGCACATTTGATTGTCTTAGAAGAACATACATATGGATCCATACAACATACCTTCCTCGCATCTTCGTCCGTCATTTTTCAACTTGTAGCCATGGTTACACAGACACTTGTATCCACTCGGATCACCAACACACATGTGAGAGCAAGGGGAACTACTACAGGAAACTGTTCGAAGATAAAGATAAATAGCCAAAATAAAATAAAATAAAATAAAATAAAATAAAATAAAATAAAATAAAATAAAATAAAATAAAATAAAATAAAATAAAATAAAATAAAATAAAATAAAAAAATAAAATAAAATAAAATAAAATAAAATAAAATAAAATAAAATAAAATAAAATAAAATAAAATAAAACAAAATAAAATAAAATAAGCGTGGGACAGTGCGACGAATGTACGTACCGGAAATTCAAATAAGCATGCTATTCCATCTAACAGACGTGCGCATTTACATATTACGCTATTCCATCCATCATACGTATATTAATGTTATTGAAATTGGAAAACCGTTAATGACTTACAGTCTTCTATTGGTTGTCTCGCCTCGTCAAAGTAAACAAGACCATTGGGGTCGTAGTTGTTACTGATTTGGAGAACATCCATATTTGTGTCAAATGGCACTAGATGTATTACGTCATGTTCTCGGTCATTCGCAAAAAATCCGAATTCCTGGTGAAACGATTGAAATTAATTACATTGAATTGTAATATTAAAATACAAACTGATGGTCCGCATTCAATCTTACAGAATGCTATTTTATTCCGTAAATAAGAAAAACAAAAGTACAGGATTATTTATTGTGTGATTTTTATATGTGTATATGCTTTACGTTATCTGGTGTTTATCAAGACAACTGTCCACTCCTAATTTACTCACATAATCGATATCCATGCTAAATATTCTCCCGAAACTGTCTGGCTCGTGAACAACCACCTGTGGATCGGGAGTGGCATCGTTTAGGTTGAGACGCATGATTTTTTTATTCTGCTCGTCCGACCAATACAACCTACGAACAAACCGATTAATCAACTATTAGTACCCTCTTATACAAATAATAAACAATTTTTTTGAACAGGTAGAGTGAAACATAATAAATCGCAACTGTAGCTGTAGCTGTGCAGCGCGCGTTTTAATTCCGTGGAAACTTACAATGTGTTTTACGCGCGTTGTACGCGTCGCTTGGAACCCACCGTGGTTCGATGACAACTGACATTACATATTGCGACCGTTGTACATATACTGCGTCGCAATATTCAATATCATTACTTACATATTGTAACGCAAATCAAGAGTCAGTCCCACCGGAGTTCCCAACACGTCACTTCCGACCAATACGGTTCGGCTTTCGCCGGATAATGTTGCCCTCTCTATTTTGTTTTCATTGCCCCAGTCACACCAGTAAAGATATCTGCAAATAAATATATAATTTTTTTCTCTTAGTATTATAATGTATTTTATATGAGAGTGGCGCTATACGAAATTTGTTTTCTATAAATATTGTATTCACATATTCCCTGCGAAAATATTTGTCATTCACCCCTCTTATTTTAAATTATATAGGTGCCATTCAAATATTGTTTGCATTTTTGTTTCAAAAACATTGCACAATTTACAGTTCATATGTTCGAGGTAGGAGCCATGGCAATAAGAAGCAGGGATACTTTTTAAAAAACAACTGCCCAACCATGATAAATACACTTCAACAAAAATGTGTACGCGTTGGAGTTGAAATAATCACATTATATTCTGTCGCTCGGGATAAAAAAGTGATTATATCCATATTGTTGTGCATCCTTATGTATAGCCATTACCGTGACCTTTGACCCAATTAGCCTATACTTCCAGGGACATTAAACAACTATCAAACAAGTATAGCAATTCTCCCTGAGGCAAATGTATGTTCGCAAAGCGTTGTTATGATCTTAACCTTTGTTCCTAAAAACCCGCAAAAGAGTATATATAAAAAGGCCGTCGTTCGGGTTCAGAGGGCTCTAAATTAAGGTATTTATTATTGTGTGCGTGAAATTTAAAATAAAATCACACAAAATGTAGTAGGCTACCCATGTAGACATGCTCGTATTTCATGTCCTATGTCTTGTACTTTTAAAGTCAGCAGTGCGTAATATATATTTTTACTCGAAATTCATTTTCGAAACAAATATATTTACATACGCTTATACGGGTATATATATGGATTTCATAAGCATTGACAATAGACTGCGCCTCAGCAGTGGCACACCAAATGATCAGCCCGACTAATTTTTTTTTCATTGGCTGAAAGTGTGTCACATGGACGGTGTCGTGATTGCTCGTTGGATGTGCCTAAGCGGTTGTCATGTGGTTTGCTCACATTTTCGTAATTGCATCGCTGCTTGCTGTTGGTCAATCTCCCGAATGTCAGTTGACGCATTTCGTTGTTCGAAGTAGTGCCTACATTGACTAATGAAGGAAGGTGTGCCATTTATTCCAATTAATTTATTAAAATTTCAAAACGCGGCATCCCGGGTTTGTGTATTCTTGTGATTGAAAAATAAAATCCATGATTACCCCCCTAAATTCAAAATCTGATGATTTCTGATTTGATTTGATCAGCAGAGTACCGCTCTGTTAGATTATTTGCTTTCGAATGTGTGTAATAACAATTTTTGTTGTTGCATTGTATTGGTTTCACACTTCCAAAACCGCATTTAAAGTTGATGACGGTTTGTCGATGATCAAATTTTCAACAAGTTATTAAACAATCGAGTTTAAAGAAAGCACTTTTTTCAGTAGCAAAGTCTTGCATACTTCAAAACTGATTACCAATATCATAGTTTATTAGAATACTGCTTTAGTGAACACTAACCATCGAAACACTATGACATCATGTCTTTCATATGATTTTGCAAAACAAAATAAAATGTTCTAAAACACGGTATTTTTCTAAATCTACTGAAATTTACTCACATTTTGTTTATTTTTCACGTGTAAAACATAGTTTTATTCGAGAAAAAAAATCAGAAAGTTCAATCATAATATTCATAAAGTGATAAAAAGTGATAAAATGGATGATAACATGTGATGTTCATTAACATTATGAGGTTTGGAGATAAGTGTCAACGAACATTGGTCCTTAAGTTGGTTCACGTCATAAATTAGATAAATAATTCATAAATCATTACCCTTTGATTGGATCACAGACAATACCAGCTGGTTTATCAAGACCAGTCGTAATCAGAGTACGGTGATTCGTTCCATTGTAGTTGGCAACTTTTATCCAGTTGTACTCGGCGTCTGTCCAATAGACATGTTTAGTCAACCAATCTACTGCTATGCCTTCAACCGTGGTTGACGTGCCGGTGTGGACAAACGATCTTTGACCATTGACCCAATCCGCCACATAGATTGCTTTATGCCCCGGATCACTCCAGAAGAAGATCAAGTCCATATAGTCAAAGCCCAGCACCATCTTCTCTGAATTGTGTAGAAATTCACGATGAACTGCTTTATATGGTACATTTGGACCGCTAGTCCGTGCACGATCATAAAGAGCTTGCCCGGAGTAATTGTAATATATAACCCGTGAGTCGGAGTCGCTTAGCGATGGCAGTGCTGTGGTGAGATGGTCAGCCACCAATAACAGGGGACCGATGGGGTTATCATAATAAATATTACCTGTAAATTATATAACATATTGTTAAAAAATAATGTTGGTCTGAGTGTTGAAAGATTTGTGATCACGAAGTTATGGTTACAAAACGTCGTATCGGGTCGTCTTGTGTCAGGTCGGGTCGTGTCGTCACGGTGTCGGGTACTTATTCGGAAATTTCGTGGTAGGGGTGCGGCTCGTGGTGGCAACTGCGAAATTCTTGAATTATCTACGTGTTTGATGCGGGTCCTATGCGACGTACCGTGTTCAATTGTTTGCATGAAATTTGAATGCGCAACGACTATTGGGCGTAACGTTGGCGATGTCAGAACGCATTTATCGGCCTTGTTCGTAAACGTGTTACATTAATAGGGCACGTCAGCAAAAATAAGCAATATAATAAAAATAAAATTGCGCGAGTGCAGGGAGTTGGTTACTAGTCAATAATACGTCGTGATACAACATTTTGCAAAATATTCAGTCCTCGTGGCTCGTTGTATGCTTTGCGACTTACCGCACCATTATTGTATGCGGTCATGGTGTATGATTGATGATTGGAGAGGTACGACATGGGTAAAAGAATTAATCTAGTAGGAATTATTGATTAATATTAATATTAATTCATTTGGCCTAAAATGGATTGAGCGTCTGTGGATTAGTCTTACCGCATTGACTGATCCCTTCATCGTCTGTAATATCCACTGCATTAAACACTGCCAACAGATCTCTACCCCAGGAAAATAAGCTGCCATGTGCACAGCCATCAACTAAATTCGTCGCTATGTCACTCAATGTCAGCCCATAATCCCATAAATTGAAATCGGTCAATTCGCCCACAAACGCCTGAAATCTTGTGAAATTCCCTCCCATTGTGTCCTGCTCCTGTCCTATTATAAAGACCCCATGCGGCGCGATACTTAGCCCGGTTTTGTGCTCGAAACCGGAGCCAATTTCTTCCCCATCCTGCGAGAGTAACCATTCACCGTTGATACTCCACCACGACATGCATAGATGGTGCCACTGTCCGTCATTCAGCTGGTGGTCGACCACGGAAGGAGAGCTGTCCTTTATTTTCAGTTTTAGCGTTGCGTCGGAAAGCCCGCTTAGACGGATCTCATCATCTCTCCTCGCAACTGCGTAGGAGATCACGGTCCAAGCACCAGTGTGGGTAGTCTTCATCCACATACAAGCGCTGACAGACGTGAGTCGAGGTATGGAGACCGTTTCCGTGAGTACTGCCAGCGAGTCTCTATCAAACTGTACTTTCTTGCCCTTGACAGAGACTGACGACCATGAAACAAAAAAAAAATAATTGAAAGATATAACAAAAATGATCAGAGACGGGCGACATACAATGGTTGATTTTTTATTGCAATAAATTAAAAAAATATGGTTTTAAAATCATCATAACTAATTTGAAAGTTATATTAATATCCCTCTGGTTAATAAGTTTTACTAATTAATAAGCTATAAATCGCAATAACGTTACATTTAATAAATATCATGATACAATTTGTATTAGCTGTGGACAATTCAACAAATTGTAAAAATTGATGTTATTATTTACAATCTTATTAAGAGTAAAGTAGAGTTTAAAACGGGGGAGTTTTCACCTGCATATACGACAGACGGCCATAGTGTCTACCCATGAGCCTTTGCGTTTTTAGCATGAGAATTCCCTCTCGTGCGCAAGTGACGAACTCTCCGCTTTTACATTAACACATCACCATCTAACGTACGTGAGTTTATTTCATACGAGCAATTCCCGCACCAATGTCTAGCATTTCTCGTATCCATAAATACAACCTGTCGTCATCATCGTCAAAATTATTTTATTTATTATCTAGACGCCTGCGCGGTGTTTGCTCTGTATATTCTTCACCCATCATACTTTGTGAAATTTTCCTGAGGGCATTGACAAATTGTCAAATAAGAATTATCGGCATAGCATATACCGAGTAGAAAAGTATACCTAATCTTACTCTTAATAGCCTTGAAACCACATTTTCGCGAGTATCGTCACGGTCAAGCAAACTGTCATGAGATTGAACGGCGTATATCACGACTATTAAACCGAAGAAACGTGGTAAGTCCGCGACCGGTCATACTTCGTTAACGCATTTCTTCAATAATAATTAATTACATAACATCATGGACAAAATTTGAATATATTATATTTTCATTGGTTATTCAACCACTAGATGATCTATCAATTTTTGCTTACTTGTTGAATAGAAAGTTTTAAATTTCCTCTTTGTCTCTAAACCCTGAACGTTGGGCAAGTTTAGTCGTGTGGCCAGACTGTAATCTCATAATCTCAATGATATATTTTATGAGATTTGAACTGACGATTTACAAATTACCTGTACACGCATGGCCTGGGAAATGGACTACTTGACAAAGGCATAAGGAAATGTGCCTTGACACTCGACTGAACGATGAAACGACCATAAAATGGCTAAATATAGGTTATTATAATTATGTCTCGCTCTACAATTAAACTACCCATAGGCGACAATGTAAACACTTGAAAAGCAGTAGTACGCTACACAGAGCTAAATGAGACACGTACATAAAATTTAAAACAGCTTTAAAAAAGATTTGTATAATTCTTAGAATTAAATAGTAAACGCGCCATTGCAGAAGTGGAAAACCTTAAAATAGCCACTGTGCTGATTCAGTTATTTGAATAAGAAAAATTAACGAAGACGGCTGATCACTCTAAATGTATCGGTCCGCAACTTGAAAACCAATTTAATTTCGCTAGTGTCCCATTAAATACCACAATGTGACATACTTAGCATATCATTCCGGGCAACAAGTTGTTTTCAAAACAGAGAGAAATACAATTGTGCTGACGTGCCCTTGCGCCTTGCTACTAATTCAGGGCGGACCCAAACTTTAAAATCGCCAGACTAAGTTAGATCCGCCACTGTACTTGTGTCGTGAAACCGTGTGTTATTTACGTTCAAGAATTAATCGGTTAGCGAAGACGGAAACACTCGTCTGTCAATGCAATGTCCTACTTTGTGGAAGGGACACATAGGCTGCACAAAATGGCCGATCATTAGAAACATGACATACGTCACCACTCAAAACACTAACCAGTGTTACGCGTTAGCTAATGGCGAAAGACCTAACTGTAGAAACAAGAACTAGGTAGGGACGTGACAATAATTGAATCCACTGTGATTCCACCCTAGGTGTATAGTATAAGGCAGAAGGAGCTGCTGTTTTTCGGCCGTCAAGTAACGTGTCAAATCTATTATTTTTAATTATTAATATAATGCTTACGGTAATTAGGGCTCTATGTGATAATATATATGTGTTTTTTTTCTGACGTCATTTATAATCAACTGCACCCAGTCAGCTACATGGATTATGTATCGAACCCCAGTAATTAATATGATTGCTTACCGGTAGTCTGTGTTAACACTATTGTCCATGCCGTCGACATAAGAAGTGTACCGACTGTTAACAGATGTGCTGAGATTCGCATACTTGGAAAGTCGGAAGACATGGTTGCGATTGCGCCGCGGACAGGGTGGTTTGCGCTCCACCGTATACTGGACGTGCTTTAAAGCTATGAATGTGCTTATACCAATCGGCAGTGAAGCGTAGAGTTGTTATTGTCGGACGGCATACAAAAAAAATCACATTAGCATTCTGTTCACAAAACAACAGTAGCGACCACGATTTAGTAGCGCGAACGACTTTTTCACTAGTTGAATTTCGTCGTAAAAAAGGGAGCCTAAACCTTTCGAGTAGGGTGAACTATTAACTAAGCCTTTACGCGTCATTCCTTACACCATACCCAGCCATGACACCGTATTGTGCATAGATAATGTCAATTTCATTGTAATGATTGTCGTGGTCTCACTGTGTTTGTACATCACCGAGTCGTTTTAACGAATCATTCGTGTTCAATGAACCCATTAAATGACATACGATGCACCGCCATTCATGTATAATACACATTCCTGTACTAGATGCATTTGCATATTTAAATATTGATTAGTTGTCACACTTATGAAATTGTATTTTACGTTATAAACATGAATATAACACAACCACAGAGTTGTTTATTTCACCAACAATGCTTAAAATGCTCCACTACTTCATGTTGACGTTACAGACGTGCTTCCTCCGTAGCGGGCGTGACTTCAAAGAACTGTGACATTGTACATGCCTGGAAGTCTCACGCCACCCATTAGCCTATGAGCGTTCGTGCGTGGTTGTTGCTAGCCAGTGGTTTTTCTTTCACCTTGTTTTATGTGAAACTGGATGTATAAGAGCATACTCCAATTACGTCATCTGTTGAACCTGTGTGTGTAGCTTTGTTTATTGACAAGTTCTGGTGACCTGTGGATGTTGGCAACCCTTAATTAGACACTTCCAAACTAGCTGCTTTTCTGAGAATATTGAAGGTGGAAAGACAAATCTATGTGTTTTGTTTACATCCATTTCGTAGGAGTTTGAGCTGGCCAACATGTGTTTTACTGTCCTGGATTCTATAACATACATGTGGTTTCCACAAATTAAAACAATATTTTGATCTTTAAGAAATTCGCCCAAATGCTAACATTGTCGTCTATTGAGTTCTAATTAGTGGTATGAGACCTGAATTCATGAAGTCGAAGTGCGCAGAAATTAGCAATCTTTTTTTTTTATTTTTATTTTACAACTTTTCTGGCATCGTATCCCGTGTTGACAAATTGAAGTGATTTGTTATCCCTGAATGTCATATTTTGCTATGCATTTCACCATTGCGGCCAATCGCTTGTATTTTGGTTGAAGAAAAATTTGAAAACTACCGTACAGAAATACAATGGAAGAAAAAATAGAAATTTCCAGTTAAAAATTTTACTTCGCATTCTTGCCACAAATTGTTATCTTTCTAGAACAAACTTAGAAATGACATTGAATGTAAATATTGTAAACAAGAGGAAAGAATAGAGTACCTATTCTGGGAATGCAAAAGTACAAATTATTTTAGGAAATTAATTCAAAATTGGTAGAATTTTAAAACTATATAAAACAGCCGTACATCGGAGAATATATTCTTT